TGAGTCTGCCTGTGATACCTGAATACCCAAACCAATGTCACTGAACGTCCCAAATTCTTAAGGACATTTAAGCGATTTCTGATGATAAAAATTAAATTGGATTTAATTTTATATGGGACCTTAGGCATAAGAGCCTTGAGAACACTCAAAGAGTCTGTGAAAATTACGGTGTTGATGAAAGTTGAATTAATGATATGATCTAAGGTGGAAAGTATAGCATATGCTTCTATGGTAAAATTGTTGCTAAATGGGATATTTTACTTGAGAAAGATAATTGAAGAGATGGACAGACCCAAGCAAAGCCCGCCAAATTATCTTCTTTTGATTTTGATCTATCTGTGTATAAGCACGTGGATACGGGGAATTCATTGTGTATCAAATCCAAAAAAGGGTTGGTTTGGTGAGGTAGAAATTTGTACTTTTTTTCCCTAATTCTAAGTTAATTTGGGGGGAATATAAATGATCTTCATACGGGAATTGATAGTAAGGATTAATCAGTTGACCAAAAATGTTGTGATTAAAGTTCTTAACGGACTAAAAAGCAAACAGAAGCGGGTATCTTTTTCGGAGTTCTGAATCATAATCAAGTTGTGATTGGTGTGAAAGGCTGTGTATAATTGGGTGTGAAAGATCTGCCATAGTTCTGAGAAGATACTTTTTTGTAAGATAACGAAATAGCATTTTAATAGGAGGTTGACAACTTTCGGCCAACATAACGTTGATCGGAGTACTATTTCTGTATCCCATGGCAAGGCGAAGGGCCTGATTTCTTAGTTTCTCTAATATTCTGAATTTTGTATATGATTTAAAATTGTAAATATGGGAGCAATAGTCAACACTGCTGCGAAATAGAGAGTTGAAAATACTCAGGAGTACATCTGGGTTTGCACCTCACCAAGTACCTCTCAAAACTCTGATTATATTAATTACGTGTCCACATTTATTCGCAAGAAAATTAAAATGAGTATCAGAAGAACCAGACTCATGAAGTTGTACTCCTAGATATGTGGCTGTAGGGGAAGGTCTTATTGTGATACCGTTCAAAGTTAGAGTATTTTGTGGGTCGTTGCTGAATTTGCGATGTTTTGTAAATAGGACCAGTTGTGTTTTTTCGGGAGAAATGTCAAGACCTTTTTGTGAAAGATAAGTGGAGAGATTGTTTAAGCAAGTCTGCAAAGATGTGAAGATTTCTCTTATGTTATTAGAACGGCAGAGAATAACAATGTCATCTGCGAATTCTTTAATTTGACAGTCATGAGGAATTATGGTGTATAAGTTTCTAGTATAAATTGAGAAATTAATAGGACTGACAATGAGTATGCTACATTGGGAAAAATCAAGTGTTTGCGTTCTAGGGCCTACAGTGTTACCATTAATTTTGAAAAATATGTTCTTACACGCTATGGAGTTGTAGATGAAACGACATGTTTGTTTTGGTAGATTGATTTCCTTCAGGTCTTGCATAAGGATTGTTGGTACAACACTCGGGAAAGCTCCTTTTAGATCAAGGAAGAGTGCAGCTGTGATGTCGTCATTTGCCATGCCAGTCCAAATTTCCGTACACATAATCGCCATGTTATCGGAACAAGATTTTCCTCTTCTAAAACCGTATTGATTAGATAAAAGCAATGAATTGCTTTCTACGTACCAGGTCAATCTATTATAAATAAGCTTCTCCATAAGTTTGAAAAGACAAGAAGCTAACGAGATGGGTCGAAATTTTCCACTTGTTGATTTAGGTAAAAAGATGACTAAGAAATTATTCCAGGTTTGTGTGTATATATATATATATAAAGACATACGTCTTTGGCAATAGTTGGAAAATTACTAATAACATTAAAATCGATCTTATCAAGCCCAGGAGATGATTTAAGCTTGCATGAATTGATTGCTATGTTTAATTAATTAAATGTGAAAGGGTTTTCTAAGAATTGGTTGTGGTTGAAGTTGTTATGGAAGTTGTCATAAAAGACAGTAGGGGGACATATTTCTTCTGTTAGAGAATATAGATTTTCAATCACTTTATTGTCTGCAGAACAGGATGCGTTAATTGGATGACAGAGCCTATTCTTGAAACTTTTAACTATTGCCCATACTCAAGAGATAGGGGTATTTTTGTCAAGTGTGTCGCAAAAATTGCTGAAAGAAAGTCTTTTGGATAGATGAAAGGTACGTTTTGCTTTGGTTCGTGATTTTTGCAGGTGAAGGAAATTCTCATAGTTAGAACAAGTTCTATAATTAATTAAAGCTAATTTCCTGACCCTGGCAGCCTCCTCGCATAAATCGTCCCACCAAGGAGCTGGCACGAATTTTCGTCTACTTGGAATGTGATTATTAGTGTTTCTGTTTTTGGGTTGTTTCGGAGTTGGGCAAGACGCGGTTATTGCGGCATGAACTGAATCTGTAAAAATATCATATGATATAAGGACGTCGATATCAGGTGATGTAAGGGAGTCTTTATTTTGTGTCATGTGTGATTTACCTCCCAAGAGGTTCTAGGGTAAAGGTTAGCAGAAACAAAGGAAAGATTAATTACTGAATCTGTTTGACCGGAGTAACCCACACGCCTTTTTTGATCCATCGTTAAGTAAAATTAATTCTGTATCGTCTAAGGCAGAAAAACTATTTAAAAAAAACTATAAAAACTGAGGGATAATCGGAGCTCGTGATAGAATTAAATAGATTCTTCCATAAATTTGCAGGGGTTTGCTGATTTCCAGGGACTCTGTATACCGAAACAATTAAAAATTTTCCTTCGGTCGAATCAAAAATTGATAATGTTTCTAGTACATTTTCAATAGATGGTATTGTTTTAACTATAGAAAAAGCGAGATTTTCCCTTATGGCAGTGATGAGACCACCGCCTTTGTCAACTGATCTATCTGATCTGATAATATTGAATTGTTTGAGGCAGCGAAGTTTGTCCCTTTTATTTGGTTTTAAAAGGGTTTCGCTTAAAAGAAGAACGTTAGAATTGTAGGATAGTTTATTTATGTCATGTGTTTTCGTAGAAACACCATGACAGCATGATATGAAAAGAATTGTTGTTGGGCAGTTCCATACGAAAAGCAAATGGTGGATCACAGATTTTTCTTAAAGTTTGTAATTTTGTAGTACTTGGGGTACTAAATAACTGTGCCAAACAGTTTTGCAAAAAAAAATTTTTTTTGCAAGATATTTAGATTTGAAAAATCGGAAACTGAAAAAAATGACTTTTTTTGAGAATTTTTATTTCGAAAACTATTGATTCTACAAGAAAAAGTCATAAATTTAAAATTGTGGAGAAAATGTAAATTTTTTTTTATTAAAAAAAGTTAAGAAAAATTAATTTTTCAATAATTTGTTTTAACAATAATTTTTTATTGTTAAAAAAAAGCAACAGACATCATGGAATTTTCTAGAGAAATTATTTTCTCAAAATTTTAACATTCCTTAATAAGTGGTAAAATATTAAAGAAGTGATTTTTGATGTTTTTCAGAAAAAAATTTTTGAAGTTTGCGCTACGAATTTTTGTGCGTTGCGCTAACTAAGCAGCGCCTATATCAGTGTATTTTAAAAGATGATATGACCCTTACTGCTCGCCCCTAATATGGGCACAAAAACGCATATATAAAAAGTAACTAACAATTGGGATCCTAGCATAGGGTCTAATAATAATTTTTGACGTTAAAAATTAAAAAAAAATTTTTTACACAACTTGTCATAAACAAATAAAGAAAAATTGATTTTCATAAAAAACTGATAGCGACATTCGATTCGACGCAAAAAACTACTACGAGAACGTATATTACAAAATTTTTAAAAAAAGATAAATTGTTGTAAAAGTGTTATAAACAATTAGCCTGCATTTATACTGTATGAGGTAGAAGGATCGTTTTTCAGGTAAAAATTTTGTTTAAAAAATTTGTAACGTCAAAAACTCTCTTAATTAAACTAATTTTGTTTAAAAAAATTTTTACCTTCAAAAACGATTTTTCTACCTCATACAGTATAAATACAAGCTAATTGTTTATAACACTTTTACAACAATTTATCTTTTTTTAAAAATTATGTAATATACGTTCTCGTAGTAGTTTTTTGCGTCGAATCGAATGGCGCTATCAGTTTTTTATGAAAATCAATTTTTCTTTATTTGTTTATTACAATTTGTTTGAAAATTTTTTTTTTAATTTTTAACGTCAAAAATTATTATTAGACCCTATGCCAGGATCCAAATAGTTACTTTTTATATATGCGTTCCTGTGCCCATGGGCATTAATGGGTTAAATAAGGAAAATAATGTTTATAAAAAAGTTAAAAATATATTGTTATACTGTTTATAATAATATATACGTATATAATTAATAAATGTATTAGGGGCGAGCAGTAAAGGTCATATCATCTTTTAAAATACACTGATATAGGAGCTGCTTAGTTAGCGCAACGCACAAAAACTCGTAGCGCAAACTTCAAAAAATTTTTTCTTAAAAACATCAAAAATCACTTCTTTAATATTTTACCACTTATTAAGGAATGTTAAAATTTTGAGAAAATAATTTCTCTAGAAAATTCCATGATGTCTGTTGCTTTTTTTTAACAATAAAAAATTATTGTTAAAACAAATTATTGAAAAATTAATTTTTCTTAACTTTTTTTAATAAAAAAAAATTTACATTTTCTCCACAATTTTAAATTTATGACTTTTTCTTGTAGAATCAATAGTTTTCGAAATAAAAATTCTCAAAAAAAGTCATTTTTTTCAGTTTCCGATTTTTCAAATCTAAATATCTTTCAAAAAATTTTTTTTTTTGCAAAACTGTTTGGCACAGTTATTTAGTACCCCAAGTACTACAAAATTACAAACTTTAAGAAGAATCGGTGATCCACTATTTGCTTTTCGTATGGAACTGCCCTGTTATTTATTGTTTGGCAGTAAGGATTCAAATAGAGATGATATATTTTCGGAGATGGACTGTAGGGTTTGTTGATTTTCCTTTACTTTTTCAGAAGAACAATTTGATGAATGGCAAATTATTAGGTGAGATAACATTGAGAGAATTGTAGAAATAGATATTTCTTGTGGGGCATCTGTTGATGAATGATCGATTGAAGGGGGAAAAGAAAGGGCAAAGACATTTCGAAGGCTGCTATCACACCTACCATTATTCCATTATTGGGAAGCACAGAAATGGGATTGTGAAGATGATTGTGGGCGGAAAGTTCTATACGAAGTGTGAGAACTGACGTTTGTTGACGTTTTGGGTGTAGAAAGTTTTGAAGAGTAAGAACTTTGTTTCGCATTGTTGCTGTTTCCTAGCAAAACCGATGATGAAGGAGCAGGAACGTCAGAGAGATCTGGAAAGTTTGAAAAGTTATGGGTGTCAGGACCTTTTTTAGGTTTTAGGAAGGCTTTCGCTTCATTAAACGACATTTTATGTGTCGTTGCAGCCAATCGAATTTCTTTTTGGAACACAAATTCTGGGCATGTTTTCGATGAAGGGTAGTGTGAACCGCCACAATTTACGCATACAGGAGCACTGGAGTCAATAGGACATTTGTTGGAGTCGTCATGAGGAGAACGGTCACCACATTTTGAGCAACGGGGATTGGAACGACATTGCTTGGCAATGTGTCTGAAACGGTAACACTTAAGGCACATTCTGGGATCTGGTATGTACGGGCGTACATTAGCGATGCTTTTGTAAATGGTTACACGATTGGAAAGAGTTGTGCCTTGAAAAGTTAAAAGCACTGTATTGGTAGGAACATATGTGACATCACCTTTATCATTTGTTGTTTTTCGATTAAAGCGGATTGCATTGATGACTTTGATGTTTTTACCGTGGGGATTCATTTTTTCAATGTTTTGGAGGATTTCTTCTACAGGCATTTTTGAGAAGTTGCTTATTATGCCTTGACAGGTTACGAAACTGTTGGGGATAAAGGCTATGAGGCCTTTGGATTTGAGGATATTATCCGTAATCAACTTGTTGGCGGCATTACCCGAATTCAATACAACCTTTACCTTTCCTCGACCACTAGGATGAATTTCTTCTACTTTACCGGGGTGGAGAGTATGTAGTAATTTGCCGATAATGACACTGTTGATATTCTTGTCGGCGTTAGTTACGCTTTGGTCTCGTTAAATGAAGACAGGGCATTTTTGTTTGCTAAACGTATTTTCATACCGAGGGCCAGTGAATGTGGAATCTTTGTCGTTTGCCTTTGGTTTTGAACTACCATCTGGTCTGGGATGACCTGAACTTATGTCAGGTGGAGGCATAGTTGATTTGTCATTTCTGACAGTAAAATCGTTGTCATCGAAACGGAGTCTCTTATGAGTATACATATGTATGTTTCGTCAGAATCCGAATGCTGATTGGTGGAATTACTGCGAGATCTCCCTGATTTACACGTAAGCAAAGCAAAAGCAGCTTGTTCTTCTTCAGAATAATGATCATCTGTATGTTCGACGATCATTTCACTTTGTTCGTCAGATCCTCTGTTTTCTAGATTGCCTAAAATAGCGGAGGCGTCGCCTCCGGACATTTTGTTGCCTGACCACAGACCGACACTTCGAAATTTACTAACTGCACTAATAAAACACGAAATTCACTAAAATTAACAAGTTCACTGTCGATATCGTCACTAACTTGATGTGTGAACCACGATTTACACTTAATCGAGTGGAATTGCTTATTAGAACTAGACAAAAATAACTGCAGTACAATACATTTGATTCTACATGTAACCTCAATTATTTAATCACCCAATTTTTTTTTATTTTTCTTTTGTACTTTGACTCCAAAAAGAAATTTTGTATTAAATTAAAATGAATAAATAATACAAAGCTTTTTGTAAAATGAAGCTTTGGGGAATTGTGGGCCACTTTTTTTAAGGAAGTATTTATTGCTTGTATTTGGCGATTTAATTGCACAATGCAGGTACATATTATTAAAATCACTGATATCTATAGTAATTTAACAAAAACAATTCGATTCATTGCAATTCATGTGTTTAGAATTAAGTAAATTTCTCCGACAATTTTAAAATATTATTTTCTCACACTTCTTAAATTATTTTTTTGTTTTATTTGATCATGCGCGTTAATCTAATAAGTTAGTCTTCATCATGCAAAAACGATTAAAGGATGCAAATAATTCGTCTCTAAGAAAATTAAATAATTGATGTGTTAAAATAATATAGTTTATACTTTATAGTGAGTGATGATATAAAATAAAACATTTGTTTTATTTAGTGAATCTAAATAAATGTATTTCATATATAAATGAACAAGTTTTCTTTATTAATTCTTGTGAATGTGCCTGAGCCTCATGAATTACCATGTGCTTTCGCCATTTTGAACCTAGAAGTTCGAAATTTCTCCCATATTTGAATTTATGATAGTCACGTAATCTCTACCGTGACGTCACCGCTATTACTCATTCATCACTCATCGCAATTTGAAGACGAAGATAGACTGGTTCGTTTCAACCAACACTAGTTCAATTCATGGAATCGCTGTTCATACGGTTCCACACAACAACAATTAAAAGTAAACACAACTACCATCATGGCAACGGGTGTTGATGATACAAAAACAGGCATTACACTGGACACACTACTTAAGGATCAAATTGTCGATTTGGAGTCTTTAAACAGATGTATGGGTTATATCGAAGATCTGCAACCAGAAGCTTGACTTGGACCCAAACTGAAGAATCGATCAAAACATTTGTATTTATGTTGGACTAATTTTCTTGCAAGGCATTATCAAATTTACTACATCGCCAACAATGAAGAAATGAAAACCCAATCATATTTCACCAAGAAAATCTTCGAAACAACAGAAGCAAAGTACTTATCAATCAGTGACCTTCTCTCTTTATGGATAACAACAGCCAATCATCAACCTAAATTAACTGTGCAATCCTTCAACCAAGGACTACCATTAGAATATTCAAACGTCAAATTACCACCGATAAGTATACCAAAATTTTCCGGTAAGTTAATTGAATGGGCAGAATTTAAAGATTGTTTTGAATCTCTTATTGTATCTCATCGAACTTTAAGCGATTTAGAAAAACTACACTATTTAAAATCTTCAGTGCAAGGAGATGCACACGAATTGATTTGTAATATTACATTAATAGCGACTAACTTTCAAATTGCATGGAATTTACTTAAAACTATAGATACTCAAATACAAGAGCTTCCGTTAATGCTCACTTGAATGAAATTTTTGCAATTGAACCTATTAAAAAAGAATCAGCATCAAATTTATTAAATTTACGTTATATTTTAAAACGAAACTTGTCAGCTCTTCAAAATCTACAACGTCCAGTTAATGATTATAGTGACATTCTTATTAATATATTAGTTAAGAGACTTGACCGTAGTACTCAACGGGACTAGGAGCTAAATTTAGCAAACAACAACAAATTGTCCAACTTATGATGATTTCTATACATTTCTCTTATCTCGAATTCGTGCACTAGGGGCTCTCAGTCTCTCTGATGATACGGTTAAGTCAAATCAAAGTAAGCAAAGTAATAACCAATCAAAAGTAAATCCTTCTAAAAATAACAAATCTATCACAGCAAACTCGTATGTAATTTCTAATAAAAATTTACAATGCCCAATTTGTAATGAAAATCACAAAATCTACAAATGTTCTACTTTTCAAAATATGCAAAGTTTAGATCGATATAATAAAATAAAATCTCTTCATTTGTGTATTAATTGTTTATTATCAGGTCATGAAATCAACGATTGTATTAGTAAACACAAATGCAATGAATGTAAAATGAAACATCACACACTATTACATCGCGATACTACAAAGAAAACAAATGACGAATCAAATCAAAATGATAACATTCCCTCACAGCATTGGATATCCCGTGGATATCCCATTTCCATCCCGCGACATCCCTTGGATATCCCAGGGAGATCCCATGGGATATCTCACGGGACGGAAATTTGGATAGCCCAGGGATATCCATTGGATATCCCTGGGATGTCCCTGAGATATCCACGGGATATGCAAATTTTTCTTTTGTGGGGTATCCCGCGTGGGATATCCCTGGGATATCTTGCGTGGGATATATGTCAGCGCATGTGTATTAAACGGAATACGATCGTTCCAAGTGTCAAAAGATTGTGTGGAATTATATTTACAAATTAAAGTCAAAAAAGTTTCATTCAATATTTGTTGCATCAAATATTGGTAGATAATATATTAAATTATTCAAATATTTATTCTAATTACATTGTACATTCTAAACAAATAATGCATGAATTACTAGATTAATTACTGAAAATCCAGTATATTTTCCCCTTTAAACAAGAAGAAATAAAATTTTATATGTATGTACTCATATAATCTTACACGCGCAGGCGTCGACCTTCCCAGCTGTTGAGTGTCATGGCGACCATGGCGTCGCGTCATTAGATCAGAAGCGTGTGTTTTGCAGTGTGTGATTATAAGTGTTGCTGTTTAATATGTTTAACTTTCACATTTTTTTAGTTTCTTGTAAATATCTTTAACCAATAAATATTTATCAGTAATAGATAAAATGAATTGACCAAAATTAATTTAACCACACACAATAAATGTTTAGCGTTAAAAAGACATTTTATTGAATTCAACTAATGTTTATTAAATCACAAAAAAATAACTTTGTTATTAGTCAAATATAATCTTTTATTTTTGAAATAATTTTTTTCTCATTCTAGTTATAATTTAATAATGGTTTTTCAACTCTTTAAAGCTCTAATTATTTTTCAACATATTACTATTTCTCACGTAGCATATCCCGCGTGGATAATATTAGGATATCCCGCGCGAGTCTCCCATGGGATGGAAATTTGGATATCCCAGGGATATCTCTGAGACGTCACAGATATCCCAGGGATGTCCCTGGGATATCCTAATATCCCGCGAGATATCTCAGCGATATCCCTGGGATATCCTTTTGCTCAGAGGGTTTCACCGTCGGTCTCTACTCAAGCAGAAACTAATCATATTCAATCTCTTTTTTCAACTACCAAAACATTAAAGGAAAGAACAATTATATTGGCCACAGTTAAATTATGTGTTTTTTCAAATTCAAATAAAAAAATTAAAATAAGAGCTCTGCTTGATCAAGGATCGACACGTTCATTTATATCCAATAAATTAGCAAATATATTGAATGTTAAAAGAAATAAAATTCAAGCGACGCTGTCAGGGTTAAGTGGTACCTCTGCTGGCACATCTACCTCTTTAGTTGAATTTAATATATGTCCTGTTAACTTTGATAATCCTAAATTTTTAGTCGAAGCATTAGTCATTCCTAGAATTACTACATATATACCACAGAAAAGAATTTCGCCTAGGAAGTGGTCTCATTTACAAAATATTGAATTTTCAGATGATTTAAATAGCAATGAGGAAATACACATGCTTATTGGACCAGATCTATATGGTGCATTAATTTTGAATGAAATAAAAAAAGAAAAATTAATGAACCAGTAGCACAAAAAACTGTATTTGGGTGGGGTTTTATCTGGTCCTATTGAGAGTAACAGTTCATTTGATTCAGAAACAATGTCTATTCATCATTGCACTTCGATTAATGCATTAAATTCGGCTATAACTAAATTCTGGCAAATTGAGGATATTGATATCCCAAAACCCTTATCTCCTGAGGATGAGTATTGTGAATCTTACTTCGTATCAACTCATACTCGAACAGACAATGGGCAATACATGGTTCGAATTCCATTTAAATCGGGAATCACCCCACGAGTTGGTCATTCGCGTTTTATTGCTGAACGCTCGTTAAAACAAATTGAAAAAAGATTAAATAAAAATTCAAAACATAAAGAAATGTACACTAAATTTATGACCGAGTATGAAGATTTAAATCATATGACTCGCACTCAAATTTCAGATTCGTCATCACAACAAAATGTATATTTACCCCACCACCCAATAATTCGTGAACATAGTTTAACTACCGTACTTAGAGCAGTTTTTAACGAGTCAAGTAAAACTTCCAATGGAACGTCTATTAATGATCACATGATAATCGGTCCTAAGCTTCAAGCAGATCTTTCGATTATTTTATCTCAGTGGCGTTCATACCCAGTTGTATTTACTGTCGACATAGCTAAGATGTATAGACAGATAATTATTGACCCACGTGATAGAAAATATCAGCATATTCTGTGGCGATCAGACTCAAATCTTCCAATAACTGATTACGAATTAAATACAGTAACGTACGGAACACGATCAGCCCCATACTTAGCACTTCGGATCATTAAACAACTTATCATTGACGAAGGTTTTAAATTTCCATTAGCATCTGTAGTTCTTGAGCATGATATTTTTGTTGATGATCTATTATTCGGAGATTACGATAATAACAATGCATTACAAACCCGCAATGAAGTTATAGAAATACTTAAAACAGCACAACTTAATCGTAGGAAATGGGCAAGTAATCTTCCATCTTTAGTTGCAGATGTTGATCCATCAAATCATGGAC